AGGTTGGATATCAGGAAGGAATTCTTTCCGTGGAGAGTGATCAACCCTTGGAATGGGCTGCCCAGGGAGGGGGTGGATTCTCTGTCTCTGGAGGTGTTTAAGGACAGACTGGATGTGGCATCAGTGCCACGGGCTGGGAACCACGGTGGGGTTGGGTCAAGGGTTGGACTCGATGATCTCAGAGCTCTTTTCCAACCCCGTTGATTCTATGATTCCCTGATTCTGTGATTCTTGCTCCAAATACTCCTCCAGTTCATTCCAGAAGTAATTAATTTCCCAGATACCATGGCAGTATTGCCTTGTTTTCTGAACCCCTTTTTCCGGCGTCGAACTTGGAACGGCGTCTGTAAATCCCAATATTTAAAGGCTTAACCTTTTCTCTCTCACAAACAGTTTTGATTAAGCCTCTCACGAAACAAAGGAGCTAGAAAAATGCTTCCACATGCCAAGCTTTAGTGGGAATTGTAGCCTCTTTTTTTTTTTATTTTTTTATTTTTAATTAGACACCTTAAAAGGTGTCTCCGGCTGATAAAAACCTTCCGAGCGGTTTCCTGCCAAAACAAACTCAATCCCGAAAATATCTGTTCCAGAGACCACCATCCATAGCACTGGAGTCAACGGGAGGCTTTCCATCAGCTCCAGGAAGTTCTGAGTCAGGGATAATCCTCCAGACAGAGGAGACAGAGGTTAAAAATGACCCAGAGAGAACGGACCCCCTACGTATTCCCAGAATTTCTGGATCTCTGGAGGATGCAGGACAGGGCTCCCCACTCAGGAATATTCCAAATGGAAGCACAACCAACTCCAAAGCTACTAAACCAACTCTGCTTGAAGTTTTCTTCCCCTCCAGGTGAAGACTCAAAGCATTTAAAACATCTCATATAATTAGGGAAAATGTAAATTTGGGAGTGTAGACAACGGACAGGATGGGAGAGATTTAATCCTAATTAATTGCTTTCTCTAGAATTAAAGAAAATTTATTTATAATATTTATAATTAGATAAAAAATCATAATTAGAGAAAAAATCATAATTAAAGAAAAAAAGGGCGACTCAGATCAGCTGAAACTTAAAAGGATTTGTGGGTTCAAAATGTGGACCTTTTCACCCCTTAAAATAACATTTCTCGTAACATTCCTCAATTTACGGGAGAAAAACCGAGGAGTTTTTCCACAGTAAATAAAATTCCAGAGAATCCTGGAATCCACAATTCTTTTGC